CTGAAGTCAGCTACAGATATAAGGAGAAACGTTATTTCACTCTGAACCTTAGAGGGTTAGTTGAGAACAGCCATATTCTTTCAAAGGCAAGTAGATTGCATTATCTGTGATATTCCAGTCCTTACAAAGCCAAATAAAATGTGTAAAAGTTCCTAGTATTTCAAAGACGCAAGTATGTAAACTTGATGTTAAATGTGTTAATGTAGTATTCTAAATTGTATCAGTTAGGTAGTTTAACTAAACCATTAGAAGAACTAGATCAACAAAATAGGGACTGCTGTTCTGCATAGGATATACACACACCTATACCTACACCCATATACACATTCTGTGATTTGTCAACAAGAGAAAAAAAAAAAAAAGCCCAGTGGCAGAGAATCACGTTTCCTGGCTAATGCAAAAGATTGTCATCATCTTTCTTGCTTTAATTTGAGATTGTACAGTACAAAGGTTTGGTTTGGGTTTTTTTTAAAAAAAAAAAACGATGATTTTTAGCTTTAATTGTGCTGTCATTCATGAAACAGAGCTGCTTTAGTATCCTGTTAAGAGATGACAAGGGCTTTCGGTGTCTCATTATATACAAAAGAAAAATAAAGTTACATTCCATGTTATGTGAATGGTCTTACAAATCAAACAGCCTTTGCAGGCTAAAATCATAATTAATAACAAACAGAAAATGAGTTTACATTTGTGTTATTTAAGTTATTGATGTGCTGACGTTATTTTATGGTACACAACAAATAGCAAAATGTGATATGCAGTAATGAAGCTATGATATTCATTAATAGGACTACTGTATACGTGGAAATATTAGACAAAACCAATTAAATGTGTAAATCATTTTGTTACACAGCTTGGGAATAGATAATTATAATGCTGAATAAGCCTTTTTCCTCATGCTTAATTTTGCCCTGGCTAAGAAGCAGGTGAAGAAGACCGGTTAAGAGTGGAAAAGGCAAAATTAAAGCCGAGTGCAGTTAGATGAGAAGGGTTGGTAGAAGCCCACCATCGTGCCATTTAGACCCTCAGTCCTGTGTGTCTTAGGGCTCTCGAGTAAAGCAAGAGGGGGTCTGGAGCTGAAGCTGGAGCAGAAATCTTGGACCCTGTGAAGTCAGTGGAGGCTTTGCTCTGCTTTGAACAGAGCCGGTGTGTCCGACTGTCTTTGATCTGAGCCGAGGGCAAGGAACCGCACACCTCTCCTGCTAATTGGAGGCTTATGGCTAACAGCTTAAAAGCCCCGTAAACTTTATCGAGGAGAAGCAACACCACAGCAAGGCAAGGACTGGCGGCCTAAGTTGCAAACAACCTACAGTGTTTCATACACTCTTCCTTAAATGCATGAGGGGAAAAAAAGCCACCTCGATGCATGCCAGATGGCAACGCTGGCAATGCCGACACTGACTTCAGCAGAGCAAGAATTTCACCCGCTCTTACCCCATCCTCCCAAAGTCCTCACGGGTACCTCTGCACCCTTCCCAGCGCCTGCTCCCCGATGCTGGAACGCAAGGGGGTTTAGTTTCTGCCAAATTAATCAATCCTTTTAACGCAACACCCAACGCACTCATGGCCCCAGCAGCCGGGGCCGGGCGGGCGAGGGTCACCTTCCTTACTGCCTGGGAAGGGGCTCCGGTGCAGGAACCAGCCCGAGCGACCTCCGCGAAGGGCAGCGCAGGTGTAGCCTGGGGTGCAGGGGAGCTCGGCGTGGAATTCGGTAGGCGTCCTGGCTGTGGGCGAGCGGTAAGGGGTAGCAAGAGCAGGCGTGTAAGGGACAGCGGTCAGTTAGGGTCCATTGATCGTCACACCGGGAACTGGCCGTCACACTGCCGCTTGCTTCAGGAGCTGACGCACCACACGTGCATTTACACAGGTCCCACGGCCCTGCTGTACCACTGGGCTTTTCCTCCGAGGTTTTCCGCTGGAGTCAAATGTGGTAACTTGCACTAAAGAAATCGAGGATAAGCCGAAAACCAGCTTACACTGTTTTTCTTACTTTTTTCTTCCTAAAACACACACACATGATACTTAGACGTCACATTTAACCCACTCGCATGTACTTAAACGCTGAGCCAGTCAACCCTAATGTAATGACACCTCAACAATACTCCAGCTGTTCCAGCCTACGAGCCACAAGATACAAACACAGTGAACTGGGTCCTATTTCTTTCCCCTGGTTTCAGCCTTGGGGCCACACTTTCAAATTTTTCTGCCCACTACCAGAACCCTTTTTTTTCCCCCTAGTGATTTTAAACAAAGCTGTAATTCTGTTGTATTCACACACGCCATGGGGAACTCAAACTTTATATAAATTACCAAGCATTGTGGGACCTGTGACAACCACCACTAGGTGCTGGAAATGCTGTTACGGGATTCACTATTAAAGTCAGGAAAGTTCCACTGGTGATAAGGTCAGTCTGCCAGGGTCGAAGCCTGTGTTCTATGTTTTGACACATCAATCCAATGTACTGAAATAAAACCAGAAAGGTTGATACAGATTTACACTTAGGCAGCTGTGAGCAGAATTTGGCTCCTCCTGAACACTACTTCTGTGTAGTGAACGCTTTAAAAAAAATATTTTCAATTGGTTAGTGGAAGAACAAAAAGTTGGGTAATTCTGCAGCCTCTTTAAATTGTGCCTGGGATGAGAAGGAAACCCTCTGTGCTTACAGACCTCCTGTAACTCGGAGTCACAGGTGATTTATGGGTGGGCTCGCTGATAACACCCAACTAAAAGCGGCTGGCTCCAGAAGAGACCTCTCACCAGAATCCCACAGTAAACTCGTATCACCTTTTACTTGCAAGATAAGGGCCAAAGCCTGCAAAAGGAATCGCTCCAAAGAGCCAAGTGGGGTAGTAGGAATGAAGTACTGAGCACAAGTTGTAGGAGAAGACCTGTTCCATATCTCAGGAGAAAGTATTTCCAGGCTGAGCGCTCGCTCCTTCCCCAGCTGAGGAAAGGTGAAGCGGGAGTAGGGTGGGCTGCGTAGTGCCGTGGTGGGATAAGGCTTGCGTGAAGGCGTCCCCGAGTGCAAGCGTGGGTCTGTGGGTTTGGTCAGAGGAACATCCATAGTCTAACTTCAGGTCTGGGTGTATTTCAGTTTTCTCTCCTGAAAATAAAAACCTGGGACAACGGTTTAGTTGAGAGCAGTGGTACCTCAGGGATCAATATTCAGGTGGTTTTCAAGCAACAAAGAGCGTAAGACGGCAGTTCCTGTGACCGTGAAACAGCGGCTTTTGTAAGCAGTGCCAGCTATAACATGTTAGCGCAGTAATAGCTCTAGTAGTTGTAGTCTGTCCCGTACTTAACCAGTAACGGAAGGAGAACATGTTTATATACAAATCATAAACTCGGACATGCTTTAAGTAATAAAAATGCTTTGGAATAAGGAAGAAATCAAAACAAGTTGCAGACCGTACTGCATAAAGTTCAGGACTTGGTCCAACGCCTACCGAAAGTGAGTTTGTTGGTGAGATGTCGGGTGATTTCCATGAGCTTTGCTTCAGCCCGCTGCGGGCCGGTTGCAGAGAGCGACGCAAGTCCCAAGTCCCCTCGCTCTCTGGGCAGCGGTGGGGCATCGCTCAGGCCCTGACGTGGGTCTTCCGTCCTGTTTTCCAGCCCAGCATCAATGCGCCCTATAAAAGGGAAGAATTACAGCTCAGAATTGTCAGTGGGTTTCCACTGTTTTATTTCAATACATTTTCCATTCCATTTATTTTATTAAAAGCAAGCTAAAGGACAAGTCCCCGATCCTGCTGTTGTAATTGCCCCATTGCGGTCAGTGGAGCTGTACGGGCACAGAAACCTTTTGCTTGCAGGGGTAAAGGCA